GTCTTAAACAGTTCAGTTTTGATAGGCTTCAGCGTATAAAAGAAGGTATAAGACTTCAAGAAAGGAAAAAGGAAGAGGAAAGGTTGCGTTTATTTATACAATAATTTATACAATAACACGAAAAAAATCAAAAGAATTTCTAACACAATAACACGAAAAAAAACAAAACAAAAAATAATTTTTTATTTCAGTGTGCTTTATTTTGTATTGTTAGAATTATACAAATACGTTTATTTTTTAAAACAATAAATATAATAAAATAATCTATTTACAAAGAAATAAAATTAATAAAAAGTGGAACGAAAAACTGGTACAACTGATAAAATTTTTTTTTTCTAAATTCTATTTTTTGTTCGAAAGTATACAGGTTAAAAGTGTACAGGTTAAAATAAGGAGATCAACACATGCTCAATTAACCGATCGTGTAATATAAGAACCAATAAGAACCAATTAAACGTCAACTCACAGATCAAGCAGGCGGACAACGGGATACATTGTACCACCGTGGCTAGAACATATATAGTCCTTCGCTACGCTCCGGACTAATAAAGAGGAAACTTTTTACTCTATTCGTATTGTTTATATTTATATTTATCGTTACATAAGGTTATCAGAAATGCCGTACTATATAATGAAAAAAGCTTATTCGGCTCAAGCCAATCTTGGTGCGGCTTGGCACATTTAGACTACTTCGAGCTTGGCATTTTTCAAGGCTGGGCCAAGCCGAACTGACTCGAAAAAAAAAATTTTTTTACAGATCGGCCGGATAATTTAATGGACTTATTTACCCCAACCCGGTCGATCCATACAATAAATAAATAAATAAAAATTATAAAATTATAAAATTATATATAGCTCGTGAACTGGCTCATTAGCTCGTGAGCTGACTTAATCGAGTTGAACTAAAGCTCGGCTCGAAATGAGCTGCGAGCTGCGGCTTGAGCTCGGACTTGACGAGCTGACTTGCAAGTAAGCTCGAGCCAGCTCGGCTCGTACGGGAGCTTTAGTACTATAGTATTAACCTTTTTTGATTATAAAAATTCACAATGAAACTTATGCTTTTTCGATTGTAAAATTTGGACAATAAAAAATATTCCATTTTTGATTGTAGAATATTTTAAATAAAGCTTTATAAAATACTTTCAATAGAATTTTATAAAAGTACTAACTAAATATGGTTTTTCATTGAAACGCCAGTGGCTAAAAAGCTAAAAAGAATATATAAAATGGCAAAACGAATATATTTTATTTTTTTTAAAAAAAAAAAAAGAAAATAATATGGGTAAATCAAAAAGGACGGTAACTTAAAAGATATTTATTGAGAGTATAAGTTGATTTTTCTTACTATATTAAATATTTGTTTTTTTTTTTTTATCAGTTATTAAGAAAAAAAAAAAAATTCTTGTAGATTGATAATGAGATTAAAAATGCTGTGAATGAATATAAAAACGAACCCAACCGTTATGTGATGATTAGTAAAAAAATAGGTAAAGGATTTACCTCAAAACAAATTCGTCAACGGTAATTATTCATTCATTATAATGAATTTATTTTAATGTTTTTTTAAAACCTTATTTTCGTAAAATAATTTATTCTAAAATAATTTATTCTAATTTTTGTTTTATAATTTAGTTGGTTGAGTCATCTCGATCCAAGTAGTAAGTAAATTTTACATAATTAAAGTTTTCTTAATTTATTTTAATTGATTGTAACTTGATTAAAAATTTTCTTTTTTAGTTTGTCACGAGGAACTCAACGAGGATGAAAAAAATTACATTATCGAATGGGTTAAAGATTATAAAAATAACAATTCATCTGATAAAATTTGCTGGACAAAATTAATTTCAGAGATGAACAGTAAATTCGGTAAATTGCGATCGGAAAATAAGGTAAAAAATTTTTATTACTTAAAAGAAAGGCAAAAAAAGACAACTACTTTCGAATGATCTTCCCGAAGAAGCGTATATTATACACATAATTATAATAGTTGTGTACTTTTTTCGATGAAGGGTATAGAATAAAGTTCGTCTGTCTAAATTATAAGAAATTTCATTTTATGTGATACGTTTTTGAAGCAATGTAATAAAGTAATTGATTTGTTATATTAAGAATATAGTTTTACTAGGTCTAAGCGTTGATAATCCATAAATCTTTTGTTGTCACTTTCATTTTTTGATTGAAGTTGTTCGCTATGGAACCGCCGTTCTGGAAACAGTTATTGATTCTGGAGCAGATCACATAATAATATAAAAAAAAAAAAGAAAAATAAATATACTTGTTTTTGCCCTTACTTTAAAATTGATATAAAGACCCAACGTAAATAATGGCGGTTGTTATTTATAATTTCATGGATGAAATTTAATTAAGCATGATTTTTTATTTTATATTCTGAAAGAAAAGTGAAAATTTCATATATTTTGTTATTTACTTGATATAGCCACCTTCTGCATCAGGATTGTTTACTTGTGGTCAGCTAGAAAAATATTGGTCTAAAAGGTCGGTCGCGTAATCAAATGCAAGCAGATCTAGCCAACCAAATTAAAACTCAACCAACCGAAAAATGGAAATGAACAGGCATAATATCAACCTTGGTACTTGGGTATGATTAATTCGAGTTTATACCAATGACTAATACTATCACGTCAGATACCAGGTCTAAAGCGGACAGATTTTGCCGGAATTACGGCATTAAGAAATTAATTGCGTGACAAATAGGTTTTACTAAATACTAACCGAAAAAATTCAAGTCCTCTGAATACTTAGTAAAATATTCGTCACACGCCCATTTTATTAAGACCACGTGATTCTGCCACGCTTCCCATAAAAAGAAATGTTTATACTTTTCGATTAATCACGTGCGACTGCATAACGACCTCATCTGATAGGTTAAGAAATGTTACACGATTTGTTAGTTCTAGGACTATCATTTATTTCACCATAAGAAATTTAGTTTAAATACAGCATGACATTTGACTAACGTTTTAAAATAAATAAAATTTTAGCTGAGCTTTATTATTGTATACATTTATAAAGAAAAACACATCCAAGCAACAACTTGTAAAGGTTTTATAATAAGTATTTATGAATAACAGAAATCACTAAAAACGTTATGAATCAAAAATATTGTAGAAAGAAAACGAATAAGGCAGTTCTTAGCAAAGTACTGATTGAGTACACCGTTATAATCCGTATCTTGCATACTGTCAGAAATGGTCCCAATCGAAGTTGTATTTGAATACATTTGGAAGGTAGATTGAGTACTTGTAGACTTGTAGCAGTATCGAAAGATTGTTGTTGAACAGGTTGTTGAACTCGTTGCTAAATCAAAGACTGTACATTATAATGGTATGGAAACTGATAATCAAGAATATGAGATAAATCAATGCCATTATTTAAGAGTCAAATATTTTCTGATGGATGTATGTAACACGATAGACACGAGTATCATTTGGTAAATGAGTATAAAATTCAAATGTGGTGTTTTGAAAAATAGATTTTGCGGTATAGTTGTACTAATAGTATTAATATTAATATTCAAAGTGTTTAAATTCATATTAGATATTCCTGCATTGTTAATTAAATTATGTTGAACATTATCATTGCCATTATCAAGAATTTGTAAAGGTGCGAAATCATTCTCGGCCTGATTTATTGGTGAACCAGAATATGCTTGTGTAGTATTATTGTTTGAATTCATGTTTACCAAAATGATACAGAATAGATTTTTAATAGAATGTTTTTATCTAAATTTTTTTCTATCATTTTTATGATTTTATCTAAGTTCTTTTCTTCTGTCATTTTTATTTTATGCTTTTATCTAAATTTTTATATAAATAAATAAATATTTGTATTCATAAAAAATAAAGTATCTTTTTACGTATATCGATCATATATTAATTTGAGTTCCCAGAAACCCTTACGAGAAGCGTGGCTATAAAAAAAAAGAAAAAAAATATATATATATCAAATAGACAGTATAATTCATTAAATACTATTGAAAAAAATTTTAGTTATATATAAAAAAAAATTCAAATGTTTAATCATTGAAATTTCAATTTCTTAACAGTTAAATTTTTTCACTATTAATAATTCTGTTGTAACACGTCACGTTAGAAAAAATTTAACTATACTACTAATGGGCTATCTCTAACCTAATATAACTGTAATGACCCGTGACCGTGACCGCATGACCCGACCTGACGGGTCGGGTCATATATTTCCTTGTGACTCTGTATTTAAAAAATTATAATATCGGCTTAACATTGTAGCTGGCTATTAGTAAAAATACATAGTAAAATAAAGATACAAGAACATAACAACTAGAACCAATAATCAAATTAAACTGTGTATTTAAAACTTTATTAATTTCTTCATTAAATATTAATATTAACTTAACTAGTAATTTGTGATCAATTGCTAACCTTATCATGTAGGCTTTTAGGTTTTAATTAAAATTTTGAATTTTATATTAATTGAATTGCTAAAACTCACGAATTTTCTCCAAATCCGATCCGAGTTGACCCGGTAGGAGCACTAAATAAATTATTATTTTATTCATTAGTATAAAAATCTTTTAAATTTCTTCCATTATTTTCTAAGAATTTTATTAATAATTCATTTCTTAGAATAATTCAATAATTTTTTATAATTTTAGTTAAAAAGTAATATATTGTAATTTTTTTCGAAATCTTCAAAATAATTATTATTAAAAATGCTAACATAATTTCTTTTAATTTGTGAGTTTAATATTTCCTCCATAAATAAGTAAGTTGTCTAAGATATTAGAAATTTTTCTAATAAAATTAAGCCTTTCAAATATTTATTACTAACATGTAATATTTCCAATTTCTTTAATTTCTTTAAATTTTTCTGTGCAGAAATTAAATCCATTAATCCATTTGAAATATTTTTCTAGTATTTTTTTAACTTCAATTTGATGTTTCAAAAACTCGACTCAATCGTCTTTTGAATAGTACAAGTCGATCCCTGTGAAGCAACATTAGCAGTTTAACACTAAGAATATTTATTTACTAGGAAACGGAAACCGTAGCAAAAAAAGACGAACCTAAAATTTGCGATTTCATTGGATGACGTCACGTGAGGGACAGAGAATTCACGTGATTGATAATTTTTCATAAGTGCGTAGACATACAGTATATTGTCCTTCGCTTCGTCTCCGGACAATTAATCGAGTGTTTGTAAATTTTTAACTACGAATATAATTATTTTATTTTAAAAGAACGATTTCACGACGGTTCTTGTCAAGTAAAAATTGTTAATATATAGAACATATATAATATAAAATTTAATTAATTTATAAACCTAAAATACACATATTTAAGTGAGGGAAATACTACCGGGTAGAATATTTATTTGAATAATTTCTAATATTCGTATACCCAACATCGATTTGATTTCATAAATTATAATTGAAGTAACCAAATGATCATTAGATTTACAAAATTTACTCATATACTTATCATGTATTTTATGAATTTTGAATAATAAGTGATCGAATATTTACAGTAATTACACTAATGGAACATGTAGTTTAGAATAATAAAAATTAGACATTAAAATGCAAATAAAATAAATATTTTATAATGTAGTTTAATACTTTACTCACTAGCATTTTGCGAGTCCATTCTCTGCAAGTAGCTTCATAACGAGTGCGATCAGTTTTATATACATGAGCAATTTCAGGTACAAGTGGATCATCTATTAATATTATTGGTTTATATTGATAAGAATCAGCGAAATCGGTCAAGAAAATGACGAATATGAGAATAGTATAATAATATACCAATAGTTGGATCGGTCAATCTTGAACAAAGTGACAATAGTACTTGAATAATAAAAGATTGATTAAATTCTTTTACATAAAAAGGATTACAGCAATCTTGTAGAAGATTTACCTTTTGAAATAGTAAGCGCTGGTGACCATTGATCTCTTAGAATATCCAGGGATATACTTCCATTACTGTTGATATTCGGATGATATATTCTTGTTGTAAAGTTAACCTAATATAAAGATCATATAAGTACATAATTAAATATACAAAACTATATAAATAAAATGTACCTTTGGTGGTTTAAACGGATAATCTGTAGGAAACTGAATAGCAAGGAAAAACACGCCGCCTGAGTATGGCGAATCAGACTAATCAAAGTTACATAAACAGAGTTGAGTAAATCATTTATATATTTGTATAAAATTTGATAAATAAACTAACTTACAGGACCCATGATTGTCGCTTGCCAATGAAAAAGATCATCTCCGATAGGACCAGCACTACAAGACGACGGTGGGTCACGTCCTAAGTCGTGCAATTCCTAATAGGAGATATGTAAAGAATAAAAAAGGACAGTTAATTAGTTACTAGTTTGCTAAAAAAGAAAGTTAACGAAAAAATAAATGATACAATAAACAAACTTTATTAATTCTTTTTAGTGCCATTTCGTTCGTCAGAAAAAAAAAAGAATAAAATAAAAAATAAAAAATAAGGTTATCTTTAAATGCCTATTTACGCCAAAGTACTTCTATTCTTGTTGTCACGAGTATCTGCTTTTAAATGTGATGATCATATGAATTTTAACCTTTTATAATTAGTAATTTTTTTACGAGTATTAGTATAGTATGATTTTGTAAGTTATGTATGTATGATTTTTTATGGTACATATAGTATATACTTATCACGGTATAAAATAATATGTATGTATGATAGTATGATTTAAATTTTTTGATTACGATTACGTACAAATAACACATAATAATACGAAGTTTGATCAACAGTTACAATTATGTAATTATTCTTTCCCTAATTATAAATTTAAAATAATTACATCAATTAAAATATTAAATAATTAATAAATGGAAGCAATCAAAGTAGTACGTACGATTTAAAATCATACGTACTAACAAAAAACAAATCATACTATACTAAGATCAGATACACCGTTTTGTACATACAACTAAATTATATATCGCTTGTCTTTGATGCTGCGCCGCATTTTCGAGATACCATACGGTTTTTTGCCTAATAAATGTTACGAAATTTAATTAATTTTTGTGGGTAAAATTTGTATAATTATATAAAATTAGTTAGTTTATGATAGTTATAAACCGCTAATGATTGCATCAACTGTATTTTGATTAATTTAACTGATTCCAACCTAAAAAAGAAAAAATCAATAATCAAAACTGATCGAATTCTTTACAAAATTTCTGTTTGGGAATTGACATAAGAAATTGCTAGAATAAGTATAACCCTTCAGCAGGCCTTTACTAGTTAAATTATATAAAAAAAAAATATTTATTAAGCCTAACAGTTATTCACACAAAGTGACCTCGTAACTGCAGCATTATCGTGCCTTACATGTAATATGATCAGTGAAATTTCTGAGCGTAATCAATTCAACATTTTACTAATTGCCAAGATTTATATTATCATATTTTCAATAGTTGTTTAAGTGATTCTGAAAACAGCTAATTATTAAACTCAAACTATTCTCAAAATTGTAAATACTAATTCAAATTGGAATTATTAAAGACTACACTTATTTTAAGTAGACTACATGATGCATTTTTATAAATAGTTTATTTGTCCAATAAATCGTCTGCAGATCCTACTTTAACATTAATCACATGATTGATTTCGTCTTGTGATATTTTTTTCTCTTGAATTATAGCGATTACGTCAACCTTGACATTGATAATCTTTAAGATGTATCTACAAAATTGTATGTTTTTTTCAGTTTGTTTGATAATACACTGCACCTTGAAGGTATCATTTTTGTTTATGTTGATTGGTGTAAATTCGGTTTCATCCATTTCCGTATCGACCTGATCTTCGATGATCGTCAGTGATTGCCTCGTGGGATTTTTTTGCTTCATTATTCAACGCGTCAGGTGATTGCGCCGGCTTAACAGGTAGGAAAACCGGTGATGTAGCCTGAATAAGCCTGGCCTAATAAATGATTGGTATTCTTTTTTCCCATTATCATATTTCGGGGGAGAATTGATTTCAGTTTTTCAGTTGCTGCGGAATTTTCAAGACATCAAGAAGTTGGTAATTATGAACCAACCTAAAAGGCACTTCTTGAGTTTGTTGTTGCGATCTTTGTTACCCACAGGGGTACGCCCTTGAGACTGGAACTTTTTCTTTACGTCACATTTTTCTTTCTTAATACTTGAATAGTTTTTAACCGTTTGAAACTTGGCGTCATTATCGTCAGTGTTATTCGAACTTCCAGCTAGAGCATTACTTGTCGTAAAGTCAATACCTTCCATCTAATAAGCTTATTAAATCACCATTGGGCCATTCCAACTTGTATGTTTAACGTACCCACCCCCTCTCTTCTTTTTAAAAATCTAAATCTAATAAACTAAAGTAATAAGTGCCCCCTTTAAATTTAAATTACGATTTTCTGAATTTTTCTTAAATTTCCCGAATTTTCTCAAAAACTTCAAAAGACTTATTATGTTTATTTCATTTAGTTTGTTTAATGAAAATCCTCCTCCCCCTCAAACTTTTCAGAAAATCTGGACATTAAACAAACAAATGGCCTTAACGTTAATGGTTAATATTAAAAATAACATTAATTCGTCAACTGCAAAAGATCTGCAGAAAATGGGAATCTGGCGTGGCGTCAAAATAAAAAGTAAAAAATTGAAAATATTATTGTAAAAAACAAAACTATTTGAAACTTTGGGATAAATATTATGTCATTATTTATTATTTAATTAACATATTATAATAAAGCCATTTTTATATATTATATTATATATTTATATATTATATATAAAAAACTTCTTCCCCGTCATTACATGAACCATAAAATTGTTAAAGAAATTATTGTCATTTTATGACTTTATTTTTAATAAATTTTTATAAAAAACATTTTATCATGTCCGCCTCTGGAAGGACGACTCGTAGCGCTACTAAACAAGGAACGATTGATACGGGAACAGGGGATACTATGGCAGTAAAATACAAAAAACAATCGCACAATCATAAAATTTCAAATTTACAATTAGAAATATAACATTTACCTTAATAACATTTCCTACATACTGAAATAAAGTTAATTCGGTATACGTGACACTAAAAAAAAGAAAAAAATGCTAACACAATCTTTATCTAAATTAAATATTACTCACACCCCGAATTCATCAGAATTATTTGATCATTCGCATAATTTTATCTATTACATACTTAGAGATCTTATCAACACAAGTGACTCAGTTCATAGTGAAAAAATTTATATACATATTAATGAGCTCTATTTTTATTTACCACGATAACTGCTTAGAATTATAGGTAATATTTTTAATTTGAAAATATTCATAATTGTTGACGATATAAAACATTCTTTATTTTCAAATAAAAAAAAATTTAATATAAAAAAAAACATGAAAAAATAAAAAGTAAAATAAATCTATTGTAAATACATTAATTAATAATCGTCGTTTTTATCATTCAAGAGATACCTAATTCTATGTTTTTCTTTTTCATCTTCTATTACATTAACTTCATGTCTTCTAACTTTAACCAATCGACTATTACGCCTTTTGTTAGAGTTCCAAATGTTTTTGAGACAGTTTCTCGCGCGGAATTTGCCAAATTCCGCTTCCATCATAGGTTGCAAATCTCTCCACGGAATCATATAATTATTTGCTTCTTTAGCTTCTTGAACACTAGCCCACTTATAGATATAATCTTTCTCTTCTGGAGAAAAAAGTGAACGATCAACTAAATAATTAAGATAAAAAGTTCAATTTAATTCTTAAATAAAAACAGAAATAAACAGTAATTTTAAACTTACGGCGCGGATCAAGTATGTTCCAATAACTAAAAATTATAAGAAATTAAAATTTTTTTTTCCTTTAATAAAATAATAATTAATAATAAAGACGAGTTGTTAACTTACTAATGACAAATGGATTTTGCTATATAACGATTATTTAATTTTTTGGCCAATTGTACAAAAGGATTTTTAATAGCTCTTCCCTGTTTTTTCCACTCATCCATATAATCTCTTATAATTCTTTTACTCTAAGAAATAAAATTCAATTAACTTTTTATAAAATTTCATTAAATATATAATTTATTTTTAACATACGTCTTCATCTATTGTTTTATGTATACTATACTTGGTTTTTTTATTAAACTTCCAATAGTCGTATCCGCTCCTATCTTCAAGAATAGGATGTTCAGTTTTAATTTTATTCCTATCTTCAAGTCTAGCTTCACGTCTTTTCCTAGCATCATTAATAGGAAGTTCAAATTTAACCCTATTCCTAGGATTCCGAATGCTTTTGAGAGTATTTTGTGAGCGGAATTTACCAGATTTTTTCCCCATTTTAGATTGAAAAGACGCTCAGTCATGGACGGAAATGATCTTTATTTCATCCTATTTATATATTATTACGGTTAAGTCTGCGCCATATCAAAAAAAGAGATATTATTTAATACTTTCATAATCAATCTTATTCAAACGTCTTAAAAAGAAACGACAAAACTTTGCATTGTAAATACTAGTTATTACTTTTTAAAATAAAATTTGGACAAGACCTTTTAACCGTAGTTACAAAAGGAAAGAAAGAAAAAATAAAAGTTTAACCGTAATTAAAAATAAAACGGAGATAGAAAGAATGATGGATTAAAAATTCTTATAATAGTAAAAAAATAAAACCGATTTTTTTTTTTTTTTTTTATTTTTGATAAAATACAATCTGAGATTTAAATCACCAATAAAGATTCATTTCCCATCCATGATGAAATGAAATTCACCTGATCGTTTCACTAAAAATTGAAAATCTTTTTTTTTTTTTTTTTTTTACATTGCGAATAATTATGACCTTTTTTAATTATTTGAATTTGAACAATAAAAATTTTCCTTTTTTTTGATTGGTAAAATCAATTAACCGAAATAATCACGTAAACGATCTTTTTTTTCAAGTATAATAAATTGCATATATGTTTGAATGTTTGAATTTACTTACAATATAAAAGGAAGTTTCTTAAAGCATAAAATAATTATGGCAATAATTAATTTTTTAAAAACTATAACCTTTTTGTTTTCTTGTTTTATTACCAATTAAAAATTTCATTTGAACCTTTGGGAATGAAAAATGCTCCATTTTTAGGAATGATCGGTAAATACTTCTCACACGTGACTAATATAATTTGTCACAGGAAGTGTTCTTTTCAATATGAAAGATCCTATTTGTCACCTTTATATTTGTCGCATGGATAATTCCAAAAATCACGTGGACTGAAAATTTATTGGTGATACTGGGTAAATCCTTTATAGCCAGAAATGACGTAATTTAAATTTTAGCCCTATGTCATCATTAAAGGTCAACTTTTCTTGTTTAATTGTAATTATCTAATTGACAACATAACAGTTATTAATTATTTATTAATAAAAAAAAAAATCAAAAAATGAGATTGGATCTTTGAATTCGCTTGTCTTTTGTTATTTCGCATCTTTTTTTTTATCTGACAACGTTATTAACACACTCTTTTTTTAGGAACACTGAACTTCGGTATGTCTTTTTTTTTGTTTGAAAATATTATTATTGTGTTTTTTTCTCTCTTTTTTTTAGGAGCTTTTTCTGAATTTTATTCACTATCTACTTTCGATCCGGATAGAAACCGTTATCTGGATAAACTAAAAAAAATCATCCTGCCGGATTATCCGTCTTAGCCTCTTGGCTATACGTCCCAAATCTGGACAGAATATATATATAAATTCTTTCTTGTAATCTTGAATTGCATCACTATATCAGTAATATCACCATATAACGTGATACATGAAAGATTTGCTTCGCAAAGATGACTTTAAGTTATATTTTTATTTTTTAATTAAATCTATAATATTAATTATAATTTAATGATATTATATACTTTGTTAAGTATAATGATGAAAATCTTATATTATACAAAATATCTAAAAATTTTATAAAATAAAAAAAAATAATTAAAACAATAGAATGTTCAAATGTTTATTGCTGTCTCTTATACACATCTAGATGTGTATAAGAGACAGGCCTTTTCTTTATCAATTTCGGTTCCAATTCCACTCTCATAACAGTATCCAAGATTATATAATCCATTTAAATAACCTTTTTCAGTTGATTTTTATAATATTCAAATGCTTTAACTTCATTTTTTTCAATACCAATTCCATCTTGATAACATTTACCCAAACAATGATACGCGGCGACATATCCATTATCAGCTGCTTTTTTATACAAATCAATGGCTTTTTCTAAATCTTGATCAATTCCTTCATCAATTTCGTATAAATATGCTAGACGACATTGTGCGTTACCATATTCTTGTTTAGCTGATTTTTCATACCACTCAATTGCCTTTTTCATATCTTTTTGCGTTCCTCTACCATTTTCATAAAAGTATCCTAAATTTAATTGTGCGAATTTATTTCCATTCATTGCTGCTTTTTCGTACCAATAATATAATATGATTTTTCTAAATCTTGGTCAATTCCTTTTTCTTTTTCATTTTCATAACATAAGCCCAAATAAAATTGTGCAAGTTTATTTCCATTTTCTGCCGATTTTTGATACCAATAAAAGGCTTTTTTAGGAACCTTATAAAGTTTACCTAAATAAACTTGAGCTATAAAATAATGCTTTTGAAAACAAAGCAAATGCTTTATCTTCATTTCTCTTTACAATAATTCCATTAAAATAAAGAAAACCATGAAAGAAAATATATTAAGATAATATTTGATTTTTAATAAGCCAATCAAGAATGTTGTCTAGTAAAGGTTGATTGATATATTGAATATTTTGTTCAATAATTTGTTTACTCCTGCAAAACCATAACCAAAGTCATTAATTTGATTGTCTGAAAATACTATAAATACTATGAGTCTGTTCCCACGTGATTTTTACACACGTGATTAGGTGTATACACATCTACAGTAGTGTTAAATAAACTACTTTTTAACTTTATTAGTTTCAATAATATTTAAATTAGGCTTTGTTATTTTTAAACTCTGATAAACTTTAGATTAAACTTTTTAAGATTTAGCTTTTGTTTTTTGAGATTAAATTATTCTCGTAAAAATAAAAATAATTTAATAAATAAATATATAATCAATTACGATAATGTCCTTTTTTTAGGCTATTGTCATTTGAAAACTTCGATATATTAAAAATGCAAGAGGCAGCAAGAGAGATTTTCTGTAGAAAAATGATTAATTTCAGTAATTTCTTAATGTAATTTTATCTGTTATAAACAATTTAAAATTGCTAAAATTACAGTGTTTAATTTTTAATTATTTAACTATGCTAATTAATTTTTAACAATTATTTAAATCATTAATTAATTTGAAATCATAAAATTTAACACAACCAAAGTAAATTTCTTTTTTTTTTTCTGAAAAAACTAGAATCAAGACGCTCTTGACTTTCTAACAGTTCCATCACTAGTTTATTTACTTAATTATCATTTGTGGAACTAATTAAAATATTATTTGATTTAATTCAAGAATTATAATTCAAATTCAAAATAAGTGTTAAAGCCGAATACTGAGAATTCGATTTTAAATGTAATTAATTATACAGTAAATCATTTAGAAATAAAGATTTTTATATATTATTTCAACATTCGTGGCTTATTATATTAGAAATATACTTTCAAGGAACTTATTGTATATATTTAGTTAACCAGACTAAAAAATTTTTGCGTTTCTATCATTCTCATCAATGACATTTTTTTTATTACTGCACTATTTACTAATTAAATTTTATATTATAGCGTTAACGTTAACAGATTTTTAAAATAATGACTATTATATACCCTTGAAATCAGTCATTTATTGTAAATGAAAATTAAAATTTAAAAATAAAAATGAATGCATAAATTAATTAAATTATGCTTTATTCGTTTCAAAAGTCTCTTCCAAAGTTCACTTTGGGATGTCATGGGAGGACTTGGTATTGTTACACAAATTTACTCGTCGCAGTAAATTTTTTCTAAAATCAAACGGCTGGTTTGTCCTACTGAATACCTCTAATGATTCCGATTGTATAATATATTATTATGCTTCATATGATTTACAAACTTTTTCATACACAAATAAACTTTCTGAGACGGCTGATCAGCTATTGTCATCACTACTTTTGGTAATTTGAACCCAAATAGTGCGGAATTTAGATTAGTTGGAATTTGAAATGGAAGGATATAAGCTTTTCGAGAAAAATGATGGCGAAGTAAAATAATAATATTAGTTTGTCTTTTAATAATAATTTGATTATTTTTAACTATTTAAAATATAAATTATTACTCTATAAATAAATCATTGTTAAATAAGAAATTTAATTGTAAGTTTATAATCACGAGTCACGACTCATTTTTTGGACAAAAAAATTTTTTTTTCCGAAATTTATTTATTTATTTATTTATTTTTCGATAAAAATAATACCTAATTTTCACCAAGAACTTTCAATTTAGATATTTTTTTTTGAATTTAAGTCGATTCTCTAAACATTTTGAACATTGTACCGCACATAAAATGATTTGACTCAATCTCGTATTATAAAAAACTTAAACAACAAAGTCTTGTATCACCACCAAAAAAATTATTACGATTGATGTAATTTACTACTTACTGTATCTATAATTTAAGTATTTCCGTATTATATGAAAGTGCATGATCATTTTCATCAATCGTAATATTAAAAGTTCCAAATTAACACTGATGTTATAACGCTTGGGTTTGTCTTAGAAGATAATGCAATTATATCTGAACAGTTTATCATGCAAAAAAACCCTGTATTTTCCTAAATAATATCAAGATAATTCACTAAAAGATATGTAAAAAAAAGAATGAATTATTTGTTTAGTAAAAGTATCAGCTACAATATCTTTTGAAATTGGAGATCAACGGAACTTATCAGACTATCATACCGAGTTATTACAAATCAAAGAAGAGCAGCAAGCTTCTAGAAGACTGTAAGATATTCAGGAACAATTAGAACATGTTACAAAGGAAGACACACAACCTTACAATAAGTGAGTTGAAGCTTCACCGAGTTATTGAACATTAGGCGCGTTTGTAATAGGGTTCTTTCGACAAGTTCCTTGAAAGAAATTGCCAAACAGTTATGATAATAAGATTGAGAATTGGTAAAAAAATCAAGATGAATAAAGTGATGCAAACTCATTGCTTTTTTAAGCGTAAAAGTAAATGAATCCTTATTTGAATTTTGACAATTCTGCAACGCCAAACTTGATAACATTATTTTCACTTTCACGTGTCAGTGAATAACGCCAGGACGGTTACAAAAAAAATTGTAAATCTGGATGTTGTTTACATGAGACGTCAGACGCCCGAGACGCGATTTTTCAGTTTACAAGTTTAATAATATATTATTTTTACGTTTAAAAATGGTTGGTTTATTTAAAATAAATAATTATTAAACACGTAGTTCCATATTGGGCCGGTGACCTACAGTACCGCAGTACAACTAAAAATCCTATAAGCGGACTTTGATCAGCTAAGACTAATCGGGACTATTAATTATGAGTTATTTCTTTTGTCTCATGATTTTGATTATGACATAATTGACAAACAAATTTATATAAAAAGCCACTCCAGAAAATTTTCTCTTCACTCTTGTCAATAAACTTATTTTTTTCATAGTATTTTGTCCCTTCCCTTTTTTAAAAAGTTCTTAATAAAATTCTTTTATTTTATTTTAACTTAAATTTTTACTTTTGTTTTGTTGTTAATACCAACGTCCTTCTGTCTCTCTCTCTCACATTTCGGGAAAGACTTATGATCTAAAGCTTAGGGTGGGCTTCAAAGTCTAACAAACAAAGATGGCACATACGCCTAAGAAAGGGACGAAGTGTCAAAATTTTTGACCCTATTTTCAGCAAAGCTAATAGTAAATATTTATTACTTTATTATTTTTATACTTGAAAAAAATCTTTTTTTATTATAGAGTGATAGGATAAAATGAAGATGAAGATGCACATATTTTCTTAGAGAAGTTCTTGAAAAAGAGTGCGTATCAAGTATTAAAAACGCGAAAATTTTTTTTTTTGATGTTTATACTTTAAATTTGTTATTTGACCTCTTATCATTGGATTGTATTTATTCTTTGTTTATTTATCAGTTATAGCACTATTTTGTATTGAAACACTGGACAACAGATGAAAGCTCTCTGAATAGAGTATTACTGATTTCTAGATGAATGTAAATGGTTCAAGAGACTTTAAAAGAGGTATGTATTTTTTTATTTGCAAAGTGGGTAACTTCCTAAGCTAAAATTAGAACGGATAACTCATTGAGTCGGGGAGTTCACAAATTTTACTTAGGAGGGTACTGGATTTATTTGTTTGGGTTGGGTAAGGGTGAGCAAAGTGGGTAATTCCTATGAAATTACCTGCTTTTTTTTTTATTTTATTTTTATTTTTATTTTTATTTTTTTATTCCTTTTTTTTCTTTTTTTTTTATCTTTTTTTATTTCTCTTGTTCATTTGATAACCAACTCAAGCAAATAACATCCTATTTTGTTATTGATAAAGTCTGCTAATTCTAAAGGAGGAATTGGCTATGTCTTCTTTACCATTAAATAAAAATTTAGCACACTATTAATAATTTTTTCTTTCTCATAATAGGTAAATGCAAAGATTTACAATCACTAGTAGAATGAAGAAATTTCTTAAAAACCCCTAATATATTCTTATATAGAAGTTAATGGAGCTTTATTGAAAAGAAAATGAAATATAAAAGACTTAAAATGCATCAAATCATTCTCTTTTCTTTAATAAAATATCAAAAAAAAATTTATAATTATATACATATAAATACTGATAAAATGACATATCATTTCGAAACTAAAGAACTGTTGCGAAATGGTTCTTTTTAGTTAAATAAACCGTTTCACAACGGTTTATATTAAAATCGTTAAATAAACTGTTGCGAAATGGTTTTTTTAGTTAAATAAACCATTTCGCAACGGTTTATATTAAAATCGTTAAAAACAACCATTGCGAAATGGTTCCTTTTAGTTAAATAAACCGTTTCGCAACGGTTTATATTAAAATGATTTAAAAAACCATTGCAAAACGGTTTTTTTTAGTTAAATAAACCGTTTTGCAACAGTTTATACTAAAATATTTTAAAAAACTGTTGCGAAATGGTTTTTTAGTTAAATAAACTGTTTCGCAACAGTTTTTATTAAATTCGTTAAAAAACTGTTTCGCAACGGACTGAAGTAACCAAAGCACTTGAACAATTACTTAAATTATAATGTTATCATTTACACTGGAAAAAAACATGATATTAAGGAATTTCATGCTCATTCTAATATCTTACGATGTAGATCCAAATATTTTGATAATATAATTTCTGATAAAAATATTGAGAAAAAGATGAAAAATATATAATTTATAAACTGAACATTTCTCTTCAAGTTTTTGACGTTATTCTTGAAGTAAGTTAATTTAAATAAAATACAATTTTTACAAATATATTTCATTTATTTTCAATTTTTCTTTTTTTTAGATATCTTTATGCTGGTTATGTTGATATCACAGACAAAATTGGAACTGAACTTTTAAATATTATAATTGCTTCAGATGAATTTAATTTAACTAGGCTTACTAAAGATTATATCATTGAATATCATCAATTATTACAAAATGATCTGGTTGGAGCTCTCAAACTGTTTTTTTATTATGAATTTCTCATAATTTACAAGATCTTTGTTTGAAAACAATTTGTATTGAATCAGAAAAATTTTTTAATTCAAATAAATTCACTCAACTATCCGCTCAATTATTGGAAATCATTTTAAAATATGAAGATTTGAATATATATGAAATTGAAATTTGGGAAAATATAGTTAAATGGGAATTGGCACAACTAGATGCTAGTTGTGGATGGAACAATTGCGGAGTAAAAAAATGCGATACATTGCATAAACCCTAAGAATTTTTCTGATGTCATGCTGCGCCTTTCACATGAGTGTTGCGCCCGGATTATGATCAAGATACCTTTGGATCGAGTCATTTCTTCGTGTAGAATATTAAAAACATAATTTTAGTAGAGATGTATCTCAATGGAGTCAAGATGATATTATAACCTTTAAAAGGATTATTTGCAGGTTTATTCCTTTAATTAGATTTAAGGATATATCTCCTAAGGATTATATGATCAAAATTAAACCTTATGAAGAAATTTTATCAAAGGAATATAGAAATAATCTTTTGAATTATTATATGATCCCTGAATGCAAGCCAAAACTTAATAATTTAACATCAAGATATTTAAAAGATATTAATTCCGTGATAATTGATCAAAGACATGTTAACCTACTTACAAATTGGATTGATAGAAATGAAGAAAGCAAATTTAGTCTCGTGCCTCTTCGTCCAGCTGATCAAGGGGAAGGTTATGGTCTATAAATTTAATCTTTAATATAAAGCTAATAGAAATGGTAATACAGCCACAGAATTTCATAAAAAATGTGATAATAGGGGGGCTACTATAATTGTATTAAAAACTAAAAATTCTGAAAGAATAATTGGAGAATATAATCCACTTGAATGGGATCCAACAAATGGTTCTTTTAAATGCATGAAAGATAATTTTTATTCTCATTTACAAATAAAAAGAATGTCCAAATGGCAAAAAGTAGGTTACAGTAATGGATAATAAATACTCTATAGTTTGTTATCCATATTTCAGTCCAAAATTTGGTTAAAATAACTTATATTTACATAATGATGGTACTTAGACAAGTTATCCTGATGAGATTCTTATCGATTTTCAATAAATTCGATTATTGTAAAATCGATTCCAATCCCTAATACTGTAATTACTGTATAGAACCCTTTCTTTATAATTTTGATTTTGAGATTGAGACTTTTAATTATTTTGTTTAAAAAATAATTGAAAATTTGCAATATAATTTTATTGAATTTCTAAATCATTTGCTTCAATAGTCGTATTAACGTTAAACTTACAAATATTTTGCATTAATAACATAATTTTGGTTAATAATGGTAAAAAAATTTTATTATTCTGATTTAAAGGATTATGAAACCCAAGGCTTCTAAATTTCGAAATTTTACGGATCATCATTTGGCCAAGATTTTAAAACTTTCAGGATTTTAGGGAGATTATGTATGGCCCGCCATAAGCACAAAAAGTATATACAAAAGTTATTATCTGAATATACAAAAGTTATCATTTGAATATACAAAATTCAATATGCTACCAATTTGGTCAAATCTAGAATTAAAAAAAAATTACTGCTTAATTTGGAAATCTACTATATATTCAAATGATAACTTTTGCATATTCAAATGATAACTTTTGTATATACTTTTTGTGCTTACGGCAGGCCATAATTATGTATGGTGTATGGCCTTATGTATGGTGAAGATTATAAATGTCAATGATTTTTGGGAGATCCCGTATAAAAAGAATTTGTTATTTAATTAATTAGGCCACACCGATCCGATATATTATTTAACATAACAAGATTAAAGGAATTTAACAAAAAGAATGGCCAGAATTATTGTTAATTTTGGCCCAAATTAAAATGTTATAATATATCATATATATATATATATATTTATTAATTGAACACTTAAAAAATTATGGCCTAATTAGGAAATTTCTTCTAATTTTAACCTAAATTATACTTTGAAAAAACCCTGAAAAGGGGGTAGGGTTATGTCAAACAAAGTATTGACAGCCTTAAGGTGGTATTTACATTATAAATTATAAAAGTATCTTGAAAATTTTTCAAGAATACTTCAAAATCACTCATTTTAATGTGAAGACTCAAATTTAAATATTATAATTTAAAAGGAAGGATTTGTCCTAAATTTTGTAATACAATTGAACTATATTCAATATAATTTTCCCAACCTGTTACACCCAAAGAAAAATTATAATTTATAATATTATTTACATTCACACAAAATGTATTTTTTGTAATTCATTTAATGAAGATCATTGAGAAGAAAATCAGCTGATACAAAGTTTCAAAGAAATGAAAAATAAGATTCACGTGAGAAATAATTAATTTGTTTGTATATAGTCACGCAAACGACCTTATGTAACACAGTAGCAACAGTTTTTTGAACTGTAAATAGTATGGCAGATAAAAAAAAAAAAAAAAAAAATACTCGACATTTCCGTCAGGATAAATTGCTTTTCAAAAATTTACCTAACACTCGTCAATGAAATGATCAAAAATAGAAATTATAAATAATTTATATAACAATATACAAATTTTGTACATGTAATAATTACTTTCATTTATATCAATGTAAGTTCTATGGTGAATTTGGTGGGGCTAAAGTGATTGTTTCTTGTAAATATTAGTAATGGAATTAATAAAATAAAGAACAGGTCAAAAAAGATTGATATGTTTCTATGTTCTTGATCTCTGTGCTCTTCACCAGTTTGAGCAACAGAAAGAGCAAAGAAGAGAGGCAATATGATCGCCATTTTCGAGTATTAAAATAAGAATTCCATTTTTTCCTTTTATTGTTAAAGGCAGTGTTACGAATAATACATATATAGTTTAATTGCTTTGTGGCTTCAACTGCATTCTGTCGTGCCATATTTTAAGGTGAACACCAAGCGTTTAGCCGATCCGCAAGCGTAACAAAATGTATGACCCTTAATATAAGTAACACAGAATGAATTGTAATTTCATAAATATTTACCATTTACTGCGCCTCCCTTTTAAAAAAAAAAAAAAAATTTTAGAAATTTTCACTTTCATTACGACATATCAACATCTACAAAGGATTATATTATGACTCTTCAGAACACATATTGTGAAAAATGTGGTAAGAAATATACAGACTTATTTAATAGATGGTGTATGCCATGTCAAATAAATGAATTGAAAAATAATTTTCCAAAATGGACCAGTGGAAATGAATATACCAATATTTTAATTCAAGAAATGCAATTAAAAATTGATTCTTTCGATGATACAGTATTTGAATGGATACCATATAATCGATTTAATGATATAAAAGAGTTAGAAACAGACAAAGACGATTTTGTTAAAGTATTTTCGGCAGTATGGATGGATGGTCCATTACTTTATTGCAAAAATGAATGTGAATATAAAAGAAGCTGTCAGAATAAAAAAGTTACATTGAAATGTTTGTATAATTCACAGAATATCATTAATGAGGTATAAAATTTCTCTATATAGTACATTATTAGACTTCATTTAAATAACTTAATATTAAAATTTTATAATTCAATACTAGGTTAAAGCATATTCTATCAAAAAAGACGACTTTTTGATTTACGAAATATATGAAATATATGGATTATCCCAAATTCCAGATACAGAAATTTATATTCTAGTTCTTCAATGCGTGTGTTGTGAAAGATGTGAGGAACGATATACAAATGCGTATAATGAATCATGTAGGTGGTGTAAACCATGTCAAATCAATGATTTAAAAAATAACTTTATGAACTGGACCAGTGGGAATGAAAATATTGATAATTTAATTCAAGAAATGCAATTAACAATTGATACTAGTAGTGATGAGATATTTGAATGGATACCATACAGTCAGTTTAACAACATCAAAGAAATAAGTAAAAATAGTAATTCTGCTACAATTTATTCCGCATTATGGAAAGATGGTCCATTACATTGGGATGAAAATCAATATAGAAGATATCAGAATAAGGAAGTTGCCTTAAAATATTTATGTGGTTCACAAAACTTCACTAATGAATTTTTAAATGAGGTATGAAATTTCTGATTTTCCTTCAACATTCAATAGATATGTTTATACTAATATAATACTTTTTTTATATGATTTCTTGAGGTTAAAATTAAAGTATATTTGTATTCAATAACACGTACTGATGAATTATTGTATGGAATATCTCAAGATCCAAATACAAAAGATTACATCATGGTTTTTCAAATTGTATACTGTAAAAAATGTGGTAAAAGATTCACCAATATAGTGTATAATTGGTGTAAATCATGTCAAATAAGCGACTTAAAAAATAAATTTACGCAATGGACCAGTGGAAACGAAATAATAGATAATTTAATTCAAGAAATGCAATTAAAAATTGAAAACTGCCGTGATATAATATTTGAATGGGTACCATACAGTCAGTTTAATGATATCAAAGAAATAGATAATGATGATTTCAGTGTAATATATTCTGCAATATGGAAGGATGGCTCTTTATGTTGTAAAAAATATGAAAATTATGTAAGATACCAGCAGAATCAAGTTGTTATTTTAAAATGTTTATATAATTCTCAAAATATTACTAATGATTTTCTAAATGAGGTATGAAAATTCCTTACAAACTTAATTAGACGTGTATTTTCTAATTTATATTACTAATGATTTATTTATCTTATTTAAATAGGTTAAATCATATTCAATTAGAGGAATTCATTTTGATAGTACTAGAATATATGGAATATCTCAACATCCGGATTTAAAATATTATATCTTAGTTTTAGAATATTTACGATGTGAAAAATGTTGCAAACAAATGCCTGATGGTTGGTGTAAACCGTGTCAAATAAGTGAATTAGAAGATAATTTTAAAAACTGGACTAGTGGAAATGAAAAAATCGATAATTTGGTTCGAGAAATGCAATTAAGTATTAATTCTACTGATGATATAGTATTTGAATGGATACCATACGATCAGTTTATTGATATTAAAAAAATAGGCAAAGGTGGTTTTGCTGATGTATATTCAGCAATATGGATGGATGGCCCATTGCATTATGAAGATGAATATTTAAGAAACAGACAAAAAGAAGTTGCTTTAAAATGTCTTCATAATTCAAAAAATATCTCTGATGAATTTCTGAATGAGGTATGGAATCATATTCAATTTTAACACTTTTTTTTTTAATACTGTATAATAATAATATCTTTCTTGTTTAAATAGATCAAAGCATATTCAATTAAAGAATATAATAAAACTGAAAATATTCTTTCTGTATATGGAATAACTCAAAATCCTGATACAAAAGATTATATTATGGTCCTTGATTATGCAAAAGGTGGAGATTTTTATCATTGGATAAATAAAAATTATAATAAACTTAATTGGTTATATATTATAAAAATTTTATCAATTATTATTAAAGGTCTTAAGTTAATTCATGAAAAAAATATGTTTCATCGTGATTTTCATACAGGAAATATATTAGTACTTGATAATTCTTTAAGAATATCTAATGAGCATATATTTATTTCAGATATGGGATTAAGTGGAAAAGTTGATAATACAGATAAGACAAGTATTTATGGAGTTACTCCTTATATAGCTCCTGAAGTATTAAGAGGAGAACCTTATACCCAAGCAGCAGATATATACAGCTTTAGTATGATTATGTACGTTGTAGCAACAGGAAGACAGCCTTTTTCTAATTGCGCACATGATCATTATTTAGTATTAGATATTTGTAAAGAAGAAATTAGACCTAGTATAATTGAATCAGAAGCACCAAAATGTTATATAGACTTGATGAAAAAGTGCTGGGATTCAAACCCAAATAATAGACCGAATGCTATTGAAATAGAAGAACTAATCAATTTATTTTATTATTCATATTCATATGATGGATCAGATTTTAAAGAAGTGATGAATATTGAAAAAGAAGAACAACATTATGATATTAAAAAGCAATTCAAGGAATCAGAAGAATATAGAAAAGCATTTATCTCTTCTTCTGAAAAAAATGAAAAAGAAATCAGTCAAACAGCTACTCATCCAGAAGCTATTTATACATCCCGAATACTTGATACTTTGACAAAAGAACTTCATGATGAATGTTTAGATTGTGAAGTTTAATTGAATAATTTTATAATTACTTGTTTTCATTCTCTTTTAATTGAATTTATTGGAAATTTTATAAAATATTTTTATTTATTTTATTATGATAAGATTTTTACACGTTTTTATTTTATATAAATAAAATCAGACCCTATAAAAAATATATCCGGTTTTTGATTAGAAATTGTCTGTCTATATTTTCCAGACAAGAACAGGATCTACAAACATCACATTCATAAATAAGGAATTCGTCAAATGTTTTGTCTGTCATTTGTCCAAATTATTCGTAAATAAGGAATTTATTTGTATAGTTTACTTTAATGGTTTTTTATCAATATTATTTTACAAATCAATTAAATGTGATCTACTCCACTAATATTGCACGTACATTTATGAAAATTGAGACACAAGTAACTTTTTACCTCGCTGGGCAACTTTAATTAAGCACAAAATAGTGGTTAAATTACGCTCTAAAGTTGGAAAACAGAAAAGTAAAAATTCAAAAATTAGTAATATTATAAAACGTGATTTTCTTCACAAATATTGTACCTACACTCATGAGAACTGGAATATAAATGATTTTTACCTCACCAAACAACTTTACTTAAGCATGAAAGGGCAATTTCATTTGACCAAAGTGGTAAAATTACGCTCTGAAGTTGAAAGCAGAAAAATGAAAAATTTGAAAATCAATACTATTATAAAAATCATACTTTCCTTGCAAATATTATACCTACATTTATGAAATAAGTATAATTTTGATCCTGCTGAATAACTTTGTTTAAGTATGAAAGTTGATTTTACTTGACCAAAGTAGTGAAATTACACTTTAAGTTAGAAAATAAAAAAATACGAAAGCAAAAAGAAAATTAGAAATTAATGTATTATGTATTGCATAAATACCTGTAACTTCACAAGATATAAGTAACAAAAACTGAGTTGAGTGTTTAATATGTGCTAGTTAAGAGATTTTTTTACAGCTATAACGTAAAATAATAAAGGTAATCACATGATATTGATGACGATCCTATGTTATCCCTTTGAATTTTGATTGGCCCAGTTAAATTAATTTTTGTGTAATATTTATCTTTGAAAAAAATATTGGATTACTAAATCGCACACAAAATGTATCATACAAACAAAATATCAAAACATAATAATTCGCCCTTTAATAATATTCCATTCACCAGTAGTAATTATCACTACTAGCAATCTCAATTATAAATTGGTTAGAATTATAAATGTTAGTTTATAATTTTGGCTGAAATCAAAAAATACTAATTACAAAATTTTAACTTAAATAACAAATATATTAAAAATATTGATTTAATGATAACTTTGAAATTTTTGCCAAAAAAAACTTTTAGTAAAGTAAAAAAATCAAAAAAATCAAAATTTTGCATTTCTTAAAAATTATCTGATAAGCAGCTTTTTTAACCTTAGACAAATCTTTTCTATTTGTAAATCTTATATAATAATTATAATAATTGTTTTTGTGTGTAACTGTAATATAGACTAACCTGTATAAATATTTTTGAATTGTGATACCTGTGATACCTGTTACCTGTTACATTCAGCTTAGCTATGTCACGTAAAGAGAAATTTTTTTTAACAATATATAACTTCAAAAATTACTAGATAGATGTAATTTTGGCTGCTCTTCAAGTTTACTTAGAGTGACAAAGGCGATTTTTAATATAATTATTGACTTATTTAATAAAAATTTTTCTTTCACGAAATCCATTTTTGGAAATAATCAACAAAGATGGTAGAATCAATATTTATATGTTAAGTCAAAATCAGCATTTGTAACCTTCTTCTGAATCCTAAGTAAACTTGCAGAAGAGGTAAAAATTCACCTACAATATAAGTTTATAAACTTCACGTCAAAGAAAAATTCTTAATGATGTTTTTTTTAAAATTTGCTGCACCATGAACCTGGCATAAAAAAGGGATAACGAATTATATGTATACCGTTGCAAAGCAACGGGTTAACAGCTAGTTTATATAATATTAATTTTATAAAATTCAAAAATTTGGACTGGTGAAATCATTAGTGGTAATACTTTGATATTCGCTAAAATTAATTAATAATTTATATAAAAAAAAGAGGCGATTTCTATTTATATACGGTGTAATGCCAGAATTATACAAGGAATTTATTAATTGTGGAGCGCAGTATTATATTTAGTTTAAGTGTATAAAATTTGAAAGTATTTTTGTTTAACTGCAGTCCAGAATGACGTTAAACTACCAATTGAACAGGATACATATTTTTAGGAGTATTATTATTAGGAATCACATGAATTACTAAAATTACTAAATATAGTAATGTCTTTGAAGATCAATTTTAGGGAATTTTTAAAAGTTGATATTCAGGAAAGGTTGGAAATGTTATTTTTGGATTCCCAACAAGAGGAAAAAGGTTTACTAAGATCAAAATTCGTTGGAAGTAAAAAATCAAATTACTATAAATAGGAAGGATCTCATTATTATTATTATTATTATTATTATTATTTTATATAAAGTACTATTTTGTCGTGGTAACGTAGTTTACTACAGGCATAGACGTGTAGTCTTACAACGGGGTGTTTAAACACGGGTATCCAAAAAAGAAATTTTCTATGCAGATTTTTTAATGTTAGGCAGAATTAAATTTAAAGAAAAGACAGGGGAAAAAAAGAATGTTAAATAAATCAAAATCAACTTCAGCGCTTTAGGTTAACTTGCAGAACAGAATTATATTTATTAAAAATTTTTTTTTTACATAACTTTTTAATAAAGTCACGTGATACGTGTATGAACACCCAGACCCCAGTATCACCTACACTTTTCCAACCCCCACGTGATTTTGTAATATTCATCACCGGCATCACACCCCACCGCGTTTTCACTGTTTATATTTATCTGAGGGACTTAGTTTTTTTTTGCCTCACAAAATTATTTTTTCACATCCCTTTAAATGTCACCGGTCACGTGGGGGTGGAATTTTAATTATAAAAGTGTCGGTGATACTGGGGTAAATGTGAACACCCCGTGTAAATTAAGAAATTTCCAAAAAAAATGAGGTTAATATTGGTTAACTTTTTGAAAAAACAGAAATTTTAGATTTGCCATAAAAATTATTACCAAACTTGATAAAAATTTACATATATCATTAAATATTTAAAATTCACATCTTGAAGTTATAATTAAAAAAATAAAAAAAAGTTGGCTTAAATGATTTTTTTTATATAGGTATTATATCAAAAATATTAAAAATAAATAGAAATTTACTTATAAGGTACATAATATGCTATTTAGAAAAAAAATAAAATATTTAATATGACCATTGACTGATTAATAGTAATTTGAAAATAATGCTGGCCAAAATTATCATAATACTAGTTAGTAAAAATCAGCATAATTCTAATCATGTATGTTTAATGATGCTTAATTTCATATTGCAGATAGTTTATAAAAAAGGAAAGTGAAAGTGGATAAAAGAATCACACGAATAATTACCTATACTTAATGAACATCTATGAATATTTTTTGAGTGAAACATTGAAAGAAACGAAATTAAATTGAAATTTTTTGTAAAATATTCTATAATCCTTTTTAGAACGATAATAATCTATATACATATTTTAATCTTTTACATATTATGATATATCTTAAAATTTTATCATAGCCTTATAAAGAAAGAAACGAAAAATTCTGAATATAATCATTGCCGAATTAATTCAGGAAAATATAAGAGTCTGCTCGTATAAAAAGCTTGGGGGTGGATTTTTCGTTGTTGAAATTTATTTCGCTCTGAATCTGAGAATTTTTTCTCTTCAGCAATATTAAATTGGTCAGACAATTCAGATGGATTTGGGTCATCACAAATAGCAATTGTCCAACTTCCTAATAATTCAGACAATTTAGATGCAGTAGGACGTTTTGAAGGATTAGGATGCCAACATTGTGTCATTAATTGAATATAAACTTTTGGAGTTCCATCAATAATTTCAGGGCGAAGACCAAAGCAAATTTCACTAGCTAATCTGAGATCATGCGGTCTATCGCACCATAGACGAGTACCCGCAGAAAGAGTCCACATAATAATTCCAAAACTATAAATATCCGAAGCCATCGTTGGTAGATTTCCCTTCAAGACTTCAGGAGCAACATAAGGAAGAACTCCATATATTTTATTGGTATCTTTTTATCAATTGGACCATCAATTGGACCATGTAATCCTACATCCGCGATACATATATTAACTGATCCTAGTTCATTTTCAACCAATAAATTACCTCCATGAAGATGGCCATGAATTAATCCACTTTTGTGAATATTTTCAATCCCACCAGATATCCCCCAAAGCATATCTACAATATCTCTCCAACACAGCATTCCTTGTGCTTTATCAAGATATGAATGCAAATCTCCAATCTCATAATATCTCATAACAAACATGTAGCTTGAAGTAAGATCTTTTGTAATTCCATAACAATCTGCAGTATTTCCGCTTTGTAAACTTCGATGATATTTATAAAGCTATAAAAAAATCATGTAAATTAAAATAAACTCATAATTCAAACAATCAATGATAAATAAAACATTTTAGAGCTATATCTTACTTGTTTAAAATATTCTTCACTAATATTTTGCGAATTGTTAAGTCTCTTAAGAGCAACTTTTACAGGTCCATTACGTGTCCATTTTTCAGCTTCTTCATCCCATACCCATCTAGGACCTTCCATCCAAACTGCTGAAAAAATTGTGCTAAATGCGCCTTCTTTATTTACGTCTTCCACGAGATCAAATTGGTCGAAATTAACATATTCCAAGTAATCCACACTTTCATTCGCGTGCAGCTGTGTGTGTTTAATAAAATTATCCATATTAATATTCCCACTTGTCCAGTTTTTGAAATTATTTTTCAGAGCATTAATTTCACAATCTTTGCACCATCCAACGCTATTTCGTTCCTTCCCGCAATCTAAACATTTTCCAAAGTCAATATTCGACTTCGTTTTCGACTCATT